TTCTGGCTGCCGCGGCAGCCCGCCGCTGTCTGCCAGCGACAGCACCCGCCTGTCCCGACCCCGGAAAAAATCTCTCCGAAGCGGTTTCAGCGGATAAAGGTGCAGGGAGAACCTCAGGGAAACGCCGGCAGCCGCAACGAGGAGCAGACAGGAGTGCCGCTCAGGGAAGCCGGCGCTGGCAAGCTGCTGCCCGCCCCAGGGCAAATAACCTCGCCCGCATGTAAGCCAACCCCGATTTCCCCTGGCACCCTCCTTTCCGAAGCTCTCGGCGATTTTTAGAGCAATGAGCCGTGGCGATGGGAGGGCAGAGGGGTGGAAGTGGGTCTCAGCAAGACCAGGAGCCGTCCCGCACTGGCATGGAGGGGAGGGGGGGGGGAAGGGGAAGGGATGCAGCCACCCACACCGTGATCACAGCACCGAGGAGATGGTGGAAAAGGAGTCCCGAGAGACCCTGAAGCCTGATGCCCTTCCCCAGACCGACTGTCTCTCCCTCCTGCATGAAAAAGGGATGGATAGGCACTTCAAAATCTCCAGCCATGGCAGTCCCACGATGTCCTTCTCCAGCTCCACCACATTATTCCCTCCTTTGGAAGGCTTCACCCAAATCTCCTTTGCTACTGCAAATAAGGCTTGCTCCTTGCCATCCTTCACCCACCTGACAGTTTTCTACCCAGATCTTGAGAAACACGGGTGACCCTTGAAATCCCTCCCACCCCATCTCTACTGGACTAAGTACGTATATAAATATTAATTTGTAGGAGTTACCCCACCACACTCTGTATTGCCATGAGACAACCTGCAACTCCTCCAGGCTTTCAACTACGCAATGATGAGAGCTCCTGTCCCTCTCTGCAAGTGACCAAGAGTCAACTCTCAGGAGCCCAGGAGCTTCCTCCATCACCATGACTTCAGGAGGTCACTGCATTGTAAGCGTCACCCATCTGTCTGCTGTTCTGGCAGGGAGACAGGCCCTAAGATGGACCAACTATGACAAGAAAAGGCCAGCAAGACTTTCTGCTCCTGCCATGCATTGCTAGGGATGCAGGAGAGGAGAGGTCTTCTGACGCTGGACCAACAAGCTGCAACATCATGCAAGGCCCTGCTGATCAAGCCCTTAAAGGCAGTTTATTCCTTGCCCTAGTTTCTTCAAAGCGGGGACCTCAAGGTCTGGGTTTCTGCAGAGCCCTGAGGGCATGCAGTCATGGTGAGCTTATTCCCATTCTCCTTGTGCTCACGCACACATGCTGTCCTGCACAATAAATTGCTCTTTCTCCTCCCAGGCATTCCTGCCCACCCAATGCATTGCTGCACCCTACCCCCCACTTCCAGTCTTCAACCATGCCTAGCAAAATGAGCCCAGGTTGCTCAGCCCTCCCCACTTTAAGGGAAGATTCGCATTTTCCCACAGTATCTGGTGTCAAAGCCTTTCCACAACCTGGGGGGCACAGGATGGTGCAGCACCCCACCTGGCCAATCCTGGCCTCCATGGAGTGAACTAGAATGAGAAGAGGGCTCTACTACCATGAAGCTGCTCCCACCTCACTTTGCATCTGGATTATCCCAGTCAACAGCGTTTCTCTTCCTGATGTTTTCCCAAGGGCCCTCAATCTCCATTTTGCCTCCACCACCACAGTCTCAATATCCCTCCAGGCTGCTCAGTCCTTTTCCCACTGCAACACCCCATTAGCACTTTAATGGCCAGACCATGAGCCTTGTCCCACACAACACCTCACAGGTGACTCAGAAAAGACACCACAGCTCCTCTCTGCCCTGAGACCATCCAGCATGGCAGTCATGAATACACACAGCTGAGGTCTCCCTTCCAAACAGGCTGGTCATGTCCATCCTGGCCAGCCCCACATGGGGCTAAGCCAGCGAACGTGGCTGTGGGCTGGATACTCATGGCATGTCCAGAGGCTGGGCACTGTATCCTCTGTCCCCTCCTGACCCCATCCCAGCTCCTGTCCTCATCCTGTGTGACACCAACAGCCAAGGCAGCACAAGCTGAGACACAACAGCGATCCAGTCACAGCCATGGGACAGGCAGCTGCCTGCTTGTTGCCTGCTCACTGCACTCACTGCTGCCATCCTTCTGCCCTTCCTCCCCAGGTCACCCACTCAGGGCTCCCCAGAGGGTGCAGGCATGAATCCTGGGGGTCTTTGGAGGCTTTGGTGCCTCTTGTGACATTGCCTGGAAGCCCTTAAATTTTAAGCCAAGAGGTGGCCAGGGAGGGAGAGGACAGAGCAGCTAAGGAGAGGGTGGAGGGACAGCACTGTCCCCCATTACCCTGTCCCATGGCTAGTTCTGGTCCCAGCATATTGCCACGTTACCTCTCGTCCGCTCTCTTTCCGCGCCTCCTCCACAGCCATTACGACAGACGTCACCCTGTGAACAATGTGAACGCGCCCGCTCAGGGGATCGTCTGCCCCAGCCCTGCTGGTTGTCCACGTGGCAGCTAAACAGGCCAGATTGCCCAGCTCTGGTAATCCCATGGGCAGGTTCCTCCTGGGGTCTCCACTACGATGTTCAGCCTGAAAATTGCCATCATCTCTGCAAAAATGCTACATCCCATTGTGTCAAACATCTCCCTGAATCTTAAGCCCTTATTTAAGTTTTTCAAACATCCACAGCAAGCTAATGGCCTTTAAACCACAGCATGGTTTTTGTCTCTGAAAACAAAGAGCATCTAAAAATATCCCTCCCCAACATTTTCTTTGTACTGGTCCAAGACCTGTGAAGATCCCCGGAGCAGTGACTATCTTCCAGAGAGCAAGTTCAGCTGGCAAAACAATCCTCACTGGAGGCAAGGACGTGTTTCTCCCCTTGTCGCCCCTTTCCCCCAGCCAGGCAGCTCGTCTGTGTCACTCAGGCGGCTCGGTGGCCCTGGCTGGACGCTATCTGGTGGCAGCACCTTGCAGAGCGGCAACTGGGCTATCGTCATGCTATGTGAGCAGCCCCACGGAGACGTCAGCATGTTCCACGCATTTATTGCTACACCCTTGTTGTTCAGCATATTTAAAGCCTACTTATTTAAGATGGTGGGTGCTGGACTTAGTGCTCACTGTGCCAAGGATTGCAGCTCTGAGCATCCCCAACCACAGATGTGCCCTGTGGAGTCACAGCCAGAGGGTCCCAGAATCTCCCAGAGCATCTTTGTTCCATGCTCAGGAGTGGCCTAAAGGGAAACACTCACAAGGAGTGGCATGGAGGAAGCAGCATCCCCACAGTAAGTGGTAGAGCCAGCCAGAAGCACCATTTAATAATTTAACAATCCCATGATTTAATGGACCTTTGACACTAGTTTTCTCACCTGCTTGCAGCCAGCACAAAATCCGACACCATCCTGCCGTTGCCTTGCCACTCCGCCAGCCCCATTCTGTGCAACCAGGGCCATGCATGCGTGAAGCTCCCCTTGCTGCGTGCCGAGGGGTTTCCCTCCCGCACGTTTCTTACCCAGCACCAAAATCCTGTCGCTGATAAACCGGGGAACATCCCAATCTGCTGTGGTGTCCATCCTTAGCCAGCTGTTGGTATGCCCCTTGGGGCTCCTAGCCTTTTGTCTGCTCCTCTCCGAGACCCCATTTGACTGCAGGTGGTTCAGGCAGTCTGCCTCCAGCGAAGCACCTTTCGCCCCCAACCTCCTGCCTGCAGGAAACGATCAGGAAGAGACCAGCCGGACCAAGTCCTTGCCAAGTGTCGATTTTGGCTAATTTGTTTTCTGAGCCTTTGGGCAAGACTACCTGCTCCTTTCATCCTTTCTTCGTTTCAGCCCACAGGGAACAGATTTTTACCACCAGCGTCACTCATGGCCAAGCCCTGTCCCTCGCCAGCGCTGGGTAAGGTTCAGAGTTTTTTCCCCCGTTCTGCATGACTGCTTTTTTGTACACAGAGTTTTTCCGCCCAGCTTTTGTCCTCCACCTGCCTGGTGGTGCCTCCCTGTCCCCATTCCCTGCCAACCCCAGTGGCTTATATTCGAAGGCTGCCGGTGGTCAGGAGGACATGTTCCCTGGCACAGTGGGACCTGAGAGGGCTGCTCGGCTAGGTGACAGCCAGCTGTCCCTCACAGTGCAGGGCACTGCTCCCGGGAAGGGGACGAGTCCCACCAAGGTGTGGGTGCCCTTGGTGGGTGAGCTGGGGCAGCTAGGGGTGACTGAGAGGCAAACGGAGGTGAACTGGTGAGCAGCTGGGGGTGACTAGGGAGCATCTGTAGAGTTACAGGACAGGATCCAGTGAGCAGCTGGGGCGTAGATGTAAGGTTATTGGAGACACTTCAGTGGGCAACTGGGAGTAGCTGGGAATAAATGGAGTCAGCTTGGGGGGGTGACTGTGGGTAGCTGGGGGTGATTGGGAGGCACGTGGGGGTAACTGGTGAGCAGCTGGGTGTGCCTGGGGGCAGGTGTAGGGCTACAGGTCGAGTCCAGTGGGCGACTGGGATAGCTGGGAGTAACTGGGGGCAGCTGGGTGTGACTGGAGTGGGCGCTAGGACCACGGGGGCATCGCAGCGACGATCGCCCCGCCCACAGATCCGCCCCCGGACCCGCCCCCGGTGTCAGTCGCAGGCAGCGCTG